AAAAAAAGAAACTTTTTTTTAAAAAAAAAGTTTATTTAATATTGACTGATGCGCGGGAACGACTACTAGTTTAATTAGTAGACAAGCAAATGAGATAAGATCTTTTCGAGATAACATGTGCAGTACAGGCAATTTGTTTTAGAATACATGAAAAGTGATGCTAATGTAGAAGATTTGGAGGCTATGCTTTACAGAGGTTGATATGTGATAATGAAGCTATCCATCAGAAAGTTTATAATACGTTCGCTCCTTAAATAGTTGGAAGCACGGGGTCTTGTTAGTTTGATGCTCGTTGTTGCAAGTTGCAACCATCCAGAAAAAAGTACCTTTCTTTGCTTGATGTAAGTCTGGCTTTCTCGTGTTATTTCAGGTACTCCTTTTACAAGAAATGGTACTTTCAGCATCAAACTCGAGAACACTCTATTTTCATTAACAAACTTCATAACAATGGCAGTCATTTTATGCCCAAAACACAGAACTGTCAAGAATAATTTCCTTCGGCAAAAACTACCTACATCATCATCTTTTCGGGGTCCTACCAAACCATCTATATGTACTCAGAGTTCTCGTACACTACAACACACTGCATATTCAAGCTACAAAAGCTTCTTCCTGAGATTGTGGGATTCATAGTTCAAGGTTCTAATAAACTTGCTCACCAAACGAAGATTCAAAGTATCATCAGGGTTCGACTTTGATGAGTGGTGATTTTAACATTTATTTTAGTCTTGTATCATTTAATTGTAAGATGCCGTAATTTATGTTGCACATTGCTAGTATTTCAAGCACAATGAGTCTTGAAGAGAGTTGAAATCAAATGAAGTGGAATTGAGCAAAAAAGAGTTGAAGTAGTGCAAATGCAATCAGTGATTTCGATTTCGCATCTGCGTAATTCTGTCCGCATCTGCGAGAGGGTAGCCGCATTTGCAGAATTGCCAAAGCTCCACTGGGATCGCACCTGCGATTGAAAATCTGCTTCTAGGGAGCAGCCAGCTCCTCACTGGCGTCCTTGTCCTCGACCGGTATCTTCTTGTTCGGCTGCCTCTCCACATCTTTACCATGAATTTACCCTTATTCTTATTTTTCTCCTCCGAGAAGTCTGTTTGAAGATCGACGTAAGCCTTGGCCATATGCTGCCTCGAGCCTGCTAACAGAATCTGCTAACTTCTCATGAGACTCTGCCTGTTTTTTTTTTTGGGGCCTCCAGGTATGTCTTCATCTCTTCTTTAGTAGAGTGCTCAGGCATAGACTGGGAGTGCGAGGGTCCACTCGGGAGTTGTGACACCGAAGTCACGAATGGAGACAAGTTGGGAATCAACATCCCAAATGGTCCCTCGGGCAGTGTCGCTTGTGAGGACTCTGGTCCGGCAACTATGGTGATCTTCCTGTTCTTTCTTTTCACTGCACTACCTTCACCAGTTACTCTCAACGGATGAAAGGGTTTGTCGGCCGGTAACCAACGATTGGTGTTATGCACATCAACATCTGCCCGCCGGCACAACTCTGTGATCAATGAAGGGAACATCAAGCCTGGACTGTCTTGTAGCAAGTACTCTTTCAGCTCCGGAATGATATAATAACCGACATTCACATGAATGCCATCGAGTAAGCATGCAATCAGCAGGGCCCTGACATACGAAACATCGCCACAAGGTGAGACTGTTACAAATGATGTAAGCCACATCTTGGCCTCAGCTGTGAAGTCAATGGATTTTAAACCCTTCCTCTTGTTGGCCCACTTCGCTCTCTTGTCTAAGGGATAAAGTTTAGATGCTAGCCACTCTCCGTTTGAGCATGTATCTTTTTCTCGTACCTGCTCAAGTGGGTGGTCCGGAAGCCCAAAAACATCATTGATCTGCTCAGGTCCAAATCTCACTGTTTTGCCCCTTATGATGAGTTGTGGGTCGTTGAAGTTTGTACGATGATCCAAATCTATACTCAAAGACTTCTAAATTTGTGCAGTACATGATCAATGGCGGATGTATTGGAATAAATACATCTCAACCAAAGTATTCAAATTGGGCTTCAACGACCCACAACTCATCATAAGGGGCAAAACAATAAGATTTGGACCTGAACATATCAATGATGTTTTTGGGCTTCCAGACCATCCACTTGAGCCTGTACGAGAAAACATGCTCAAAAGAAGAGTGGCTAGCATATAAACTTTATCCCTCAGACAAGAGAGGGAAGTGGGCCAACAAGATGAAGGGTTTAAAATCCATTGACTTCACAGTTGAAGCCAAGATGTGGCTTTACATCATCTGTAACAGAGTCTCACCTTGTCGCAATGTTTCTGATGTTTCGTATGTCAGGGCCCTGATGATCGCATGCATACTTGATGGCATTCATGTGAATGTCGGTTATTATATCATTCAAGAGCTGAAAGAGTACTTGCTACAAGATAGTCTAGGCTTGATGTTCCCTTCATTGATCACAGAGTTGTGCCGGCGGACAGCTGTTGATGTGCATAGCACCAATCGTTGGTTACCGGCCGACAAACCCTTTCATCCGTTGAGAGTAACTGGTGAAGGTAGTGCAGTGAAAAGCAAGAAGAGGAAGATCACCACAGTTGCCGGACCAGAGTCCTCACAAGCAACACTGCCCGAGGGACCATTTGGGATGTTGATTCCCAACTTGTCTCCATTCGTGACTTCGGTGTCACAACTCCCAAGTGGACCCTCGCACTCCCAGTCTATGCCTGAGCACTGTACTAAAGAAGAGATGAAGACATACCTGGAGGCCCAGAAAAAACAAGCAGAGTCTCATGAGAAGTTAGCAGATTCTGTTAGAAGGCTCGAGGCAGCATATGGCAATATGGCCAAGGCCCATGTCGATCTTCAGGCAAACTTCCAAAAGGAGAAAGAGAAAAATAAGAAGAAGGGCAAATTCATGGTAAAGATGTGGAAAGGCATCAAGGTCATCTTCAAATGGGGGCAGCCGAACAAGAAGATACCGATCGAGGATAAGGACGACAGACTTATGAGTAGTTTTCTTTTCCAACCAAGGATGAAGGTTTAGGAAATCCCACTCGGCCTCAATTATATCGTATCGAGTTGGAACCTGAAAGCAGAAAAAGGTTATCTCCAACTTGAAATTCTAAAGTTATCATTTTGAAGGATAGCAGTATGTGGAAGATTTGGTACCTTTTCAGGAGCTGCTAAGCAAAAGTGATATAAGCTCAAGTATGCCGATAATCAGCACTGTAAATTGCTTGTTCTGATAGTGAGTCTTATTTTGTTCACTTGCTTTTACCAACTAATCATCCTTCATAGGAAATAAGAATGAGCATTAAAATGTGTACAGAGGGAAGAAGATATCTACATTAAAAAGAAAAAACTAACATGAAGTACTGATTACAAATGCTTAAGAACTTACAAAAAAAAGTTGTTTCAGGATTAATTCATGTAGTGAGTGTCAAAGCTGGGGCCTTCGTGGTCGGATCAACAGATTCCACTCCTGGGAACTGCCCTATATCATGTCCTCCAAGTGGCTTATATTCCTCGTGCAAACCAACGGCAAACTCATATGAGCAAGGTCCACCTTGCTCGAAGTAATTTGCAATCTGTAGGAAGGCCCTACAGTCAGCATTCAGAAATATATAACAAGCTTGGGAATTACCTTTCAGCCTTAAACATCATATTAAATTCCACGGTCATACGAGTACCCCATAAAAGAAGCAAACAAGAACAATTATTCCTCTGATCTCTACTTTATCATAATTAGAGTCGGGCGGATTTATAGCCCTAATTATGGGACACGTGAACCCATGGTCTCACCGTCAAACTAGGTATTTTATGTACATATTTTCTGGAATTAATCTAATATTATCTGTTGGCACCCATGCTCTCAAAAGATTGAATGGTGCACTTGGATGAATATTGGGTTATTTACCCCGGGGAACGGGGATTGATTCTCACTTAATACTTCTTTCCAACTTTTTTAAGTGGTGCACCCATGTTCAAAAAATCCTAGATCTACATCTGATTAGAGTAAGCCAATAAGAAGAAAGAGACGGTAAGAACAAGGAAGTTCAGAGGGATTACATGATCAGCAAGAGCTATGCCACTTATAGCTGCAGCTTCTAAACTTGAGCCGAGTAGCCAATCACCACATATACCAGCTCTTCCTTGAGGATCAAAGTGCATGGAATTCCAGGAGTGTTGGTTGGAAGAGCTGCACCGCTGCAAAAAAGTAAAATAAACCAGTCTCATATGACTACAGATGGATAGCACGAAAGAATTTCTTGTGTTCAATAAATGCATGATTGGCTAAAGGCTGGATATAGCAGAATGGTTATCTTTTTTTAGAAGCTAAATCATTAAGAGGAGTACAGTATTTATGACGGATATTATTGAAAATCCAGAGCCTTGGCTCACCTTTCTTTGAATTTTATACAAGATTAAGATGCAGAATGCAACATTGAGACCTCATATCTTCTTGCCTCATCACATATCACTTTGGGCCACTGAGTCATTTTATCCTGATAATAATTGTTATATGTATAACTTTTGAAATCAGTTCTTACTTAGGCTTCTTCTGGTATTAGATGACGGCGTCACGCCCTTCTAAGTCGATACTTTTCCTTAATCATTTCAGCTTTGGTAAAGGAGACCACAGTTAGGGGCTAAACCAAGTAAACCAAAACTGGAAAAAATACCTGAACAAATAAATTTGAGGATAAAAAACTTTAATAGACCTAAAGATTTACTTTGTTTGTATATTCAAGTTCTGAGCATTCAAATGACCTAAATATTCTATACAACTAAAGCATCAGGGTGTCACCTACTGATGTGAAAGCACAGATATAAATGCATAGGCTGAGAAACCTCCTCTCATCTCTCTTGTACCCTTAAACTTGTGGATATTTCACATTCCAAATATATCATTCCCTACTCTCCTGTACCCTTACGGATAACTAATAGGAGCTCGGAGCTGGTTTAAGGATGACTCTTAAGGTGGGAAATTTCCTTTTCATCCATCCGCCCACGATAGTATCAACCTTCTCAGTTGCCACTTCCCACCCAGCAATGCAGTCATTTCATCCTTATCCTCACTCAATATCGGACCTTCCCCCATATCACATGGAAGTACATCACTACCAACAGAAATGCGTACTGAGAAGTTACCCAGTAGCTTTGAAGAATCTCATTTCCTGAATAACCTAGTATCTGTCACCGATCAGTCAGACCATATCATTTGAGTGAGTCACAAGGCTAATTCTTTACAAGTTGTATTTCATTAAACGACTCCCCTCCCTGGGGGTTAAAGGCAGTTACGTTCCAGACTAATGGTTAAGGACGCACCAGAGTCATGATTCTCGTTTTTCTACAATGCTTGTTCATAATAAACAAGATAAAGAATTCTTTTAATGACTTTTCATGGCCACAGCAGTTGGAATACATTCATTACCAGCTACACAATTTGACTCCAACTAGCAGCACTCGCTTCAAAGGTCAAAAATAAATATGTGACTCAGATTGGAATGACTTTTCCATAGATTCCACAGAACAACTTCCAGCAAAGAAGAGTAATACTTCAGTCCCCGATGCTTCAAGAAATTTCTAAAATATTACCCCCTCCATGATAATGCAAAACAATACTTCAGACCCTGCTGCTTCACATAATTTCTCAAATTTTACCCTGCTATACATGGCAGTGGATACCCATTAGGAAAACAAAGGAGCAGCTTCAGTTCATTACCAGGGGCAGCTTAGGGCAGTGAAGGTTGATTATTCTTATGTTCATCATTCTGAAAGCAGATAATTAGAAGCAGTTGCATAAATCAGCTGAGTTCCCAAGCATTAGAAATGCCACCCTTTAGCACGCCAGTATGTTTGCGAATTATGGTTTCCACGTGCAACTTTTATCTTTAGAAAAAGCTTGTATGCAATCTCTATTTTATTTGAAGCTAGTAGCTTGTTATTTAATTTGCTACAAATAAGCCTGCTAGGGTAAAATCCTTTCTGTAAAGCTTCCTCCATCACCAGAACAGCATTTTCAAGCTGCCCTATGTTACAAAGCCCATTGATGACATACTCATAAACTTGCATATCAGAAGAATAACCACTTTCTTGCATCTCATTCCAGATATTTAACAACATACCACATTTCCCAAACCTAGAAAGCCGCATAAGCAGCAACTTATATGCAGTCAAGGATATCCTACATCCAGCTTGTCTCGCCTTCTTATAAATCATCAAAGCTGCATGAGGGGGACCATAGCTACATAAAGGCTCAAGAAAAGAGGTTAAAGTCCCTGTAGTAACAATCATCCCCCGGCTTAACATTTCATCGAACATTTCAATGGCATCGGCTACTCTTCTAGCTTTGAGAAAAGCAGATATTAGTTTCATATATGTATCGGCATTTGGCTCACAACCCGTATTTAACATCCTCCCATAATATTTGACAGATTCATCAATTTCACCATGTGAAATAAAATTCGAAATCATTGCATTGTAGATTGCAGCATCAAGCACACACCCTTTTTCCTCCAACCCCTCAAAAATCTCAACGGATTCATCAATTCGACCAGCTCTCCCTAAACATTCAAGAACATAACTATAAGTCAAATTATTGGCCTCAAATCCATCATCCACCAATTCTTTCAAGATCCTCTCAACTTCCTTAACTCTTCCAAACCTCGACCACCCACCAATGACAATATTATATGTCGAAACATCAAATGAGACTTTTGCTTTCGTTTTCACAAGCAAAGAACTCGCAGCACCTACATGTGATCTACGACATAAACACTGTAAAACAACATTAAGTGTCTCGGTATTACATTTCAACCCATAGTCCTCTAATCCACTAAACAACTCTATAGCCTTTGAAATGCGTCGAGCTCGAACAAAGCTATCAACCACAATGTAAAGTGTGTCTAAATTAGGGATTATACCTCGACTCCTCATATCCTCCAACATTTCAACCATGTGCGCGAAAAACTTTCTCCTGCCTAATGCTTTAAGAATTATACAGTAAGTATCATTATTAATAGGTATTTTTTGCTGTTTGATACCCCAACTAAAAAATGTTACCATTGATGCAGCATCTAAATTCCCTCTGTTTACTACTTTAGCAACTAAATCAACCGTTAATTCCACGTCAACGGATGTCAGTGCCTTGTCGATTGCAGTTTTTCCGTGAAGTTTCTGAAGGAAAATGCCCCGTAACTTATCTTCAGGAGGTAAAAACGCATCCAAAACCCTAACTTCTTCCAAGTGATTATTCCGATCAGAGGAGTCTGTAGAAAAGGGCTTTTCGGTTGAAGGGGTCTGACGGATGGGTAAAAGGTCGGAGAGCTGATTCAGAACAAGAGATTCGTCAAAATTTCTGGAGAATGTTTCGTGTGATTGAGAATTTGGTAGTGATGAAAATGAGTGATAAAACGTAGGAATTGATGAGGAAATACTCAGAGAAGTGGATCTGGAAGCTAGGAATCTTGCGAGAAGCATCGTAATTCCTTATGGGTTGTGAATTTTTGCCTCTACGAGTGATTTGAAGACCAGGTACGCTGTGTTACATGACGTCGTCTTGGTTCGTCGATTCCTACTTGAGCCCAAAGTGTTTCACTGCAATTTGAGCGCCAAAATGGGACGGTTAAGGGGTTGGGCTTGCTATGTACACAGCTAGGGGTGGCAAAGGGCCCCATTTGTATCTATACCCGCTTTTTGGGTCACGTTTTGACTTGTGCCCGCTTTGCAAAAAAAATTACAAGCGTACCCACTTTTTCGCGTAACTTCAGCATACGGGGCTGAAGTAGCAAAGGCAATCACGCAAAACTTCAGCATTCTAGTAGACGGGCCTGAAGTAGCAAGTGTGTTGAATCAAGTGTGCTGAAGTTTTTGTTTGTAATTGTTGAACTTAAGCATAGTAGCTGAAGTTTTGTTCTCTATTTGCTGAAGTTTTTGTTTGTAATTGCTGAACTTAAGCATAGTAGCTGAAGTTTTGTTCTCTATTTGCTGAAGTTTTTGTTTGTAATTGCACTAAATAAGCTGAAGTTTTTTTGTCCTGGATTCATTAGTTTTGTCTTTAAGCCTTTTCAAAAACTTCAGCAGAAGATGCTGAAGTTATTTAGTTCATTTATAAGAAAACTTCAGCACTAAATAAGCTGAAGTTTTTTTGTCCTGGATAAGCTTTTTCAAAAACTTCAGCAAAAGATGCTGAAGTTATTTAGTTCATTTGTAAAAACTTCAGCACTAAAAGTTGAAGTTTTTTTGTCATGGATTTATTGGTTTTGTCATAAAGTTTTTTCAAAAACTTCAGCAGAAGATGCTGAAGTTATTTAGTTCATTTGTAAAAACTTCAGCACTATATAAGCTGAAGTTTTTGAAAAAGCTTTCTAACATACTAGATAAATAATCAGATTGCCAACAGTATCTAAATCATAAATTTTGGAAACAATAAACATGAAAAGAACAGAATTATCATTGTCTACTAACTTACATACGTGGAAATATTCACAAATTATTGTCTACTAACTTACGTAATTATTTATAATTTATTTTTAAATAATCTGATAAACATATTTATGGCAATCATCCCATGAACTGAAGTTTCATAGCAGCACCAACAGCAGCAGAAGAAAGAAGAAGAAGAGGAAGAAGAAGAAGAAGAAGAAGAAGAAGAAGAAGAAGAAGAAGAAGAAGAAGAAGAAGAAGAAGAAGAAAACGAAGGAGGAGAAGGAGGAGGAGAAAGGGGGCTGAAGTTGTTTAAAAAGTGGGTACAAGTTAAAACTTTTTAAAAAATAAATATAGGTTAAATGGGGGCGACCAAATAGGGCGCCCCGTGCAATTTTTACGGCAAACGGGCGCGTCGGTCGGATATGGGACAGGGCGAAAATGGATAATGAAAAAACGGATAAATTATCTAACCGACTCATATTTAATACGGATAAAAAAGGGTTAGCCAGATAATATAGGTAACCATACTATCCATCACTTCATGAATATGATCACTTTTGGGAGAATTCCTAGTCTACCAAACTTGAGAAACCCCTAATTTTAGGTTTTACAAATGTAAAAGTTAAACCCATAAGTTATTCATTGATTATCCATTTTCTAAATGGATAATATGTTTCTTATCCATATTTGACCTGTTTTTAAAAAGTTCATTATCCAACCCAATTTTTAGTGGATAATATGGATAGTTAGCTGTTTTCTTTTAACCATTTTGTCACCCCTATACACGGGCTAAAGTCTCGAGAAGAATTAATAGTAGCCCACTCAATTACTTAAATTAAAATAGCCAGGCAATTTGTAATAATTTGTATGTATATATATATATGTCATGTATAATCAATATAGAATCTATTTAAAAAAATAAACAATAACTCTGGCGGCTATTTGTGTAAAGAAGTACACAAACATCCATTCTTAGGGTTGTTATTTAAGAATTAGTCAGTACTTATCTTATCCTAAAATAAATTCTTAATTTCAGGACAATTTAAGATATTTATGTCCCGAAAGATTAAGATAAAAAACTAAAATTCAAGCAACATTAGCTAATTCATGTATAGCATCTCTTTAGAGTGACTATGTAATATCATTTCACTAAAGTCTGCTAATTAAATGGATTTTCAACTAAGGGTAGGCCATATTCAGAAGACCCAGTCTGATTAAGGACTTGACCCGAAGTCCATAGTAAGACTTTCAAAAGGAAGCAAGTAACCAACGGGTAACCACCAAAATCTACAGAGAGGGGACAAGCAAATCTTCGAAACATATGGATAATATGGTTAACCAACGTGCAATAGGGACTGAAGCGGTAGAGTATCAACGGTTGTACCTAAATCTTAGAGATGAGTGTAGTAACACAATTATGTGGTGATTTGAGCTTAGTAACAGTTGGCTTCATGTGTATAAATAGAACTACTTTGTGTAGCGATGGACATCATGCAATATGCCAACAACAATCAATTCGATTATCTCTATTCCAATTCAATTTTCAATTTATAGGTTCTTTTTTAGTCATAGTGTACAATAAAGTCTAAAATTAACTATATGTTACTGTTATTAAACTGTATTTGTAAACTAATTCTGGAAAAACAAAGCAGAATAATATATAAACAGAAAACGTAAAGAGATAGAAATCAATACGAGCCCACTGAATTCACAGTATTTTCTTAAGGAATTTAATCCCCTCCTAGTACCCAAGGTTATGGATTATTTCCTCCCAGGATAGAACGAATTACACACTGGTGTAGTGGTACTTCAAACCCCAATGTTTCAGCAAACACAAAGTTCGGTAGCAAAATCACGCTTACTGTTGCTTTGTTTGATGTTAAAAGTATGCAGAAGAAGGAGGAGAAACTCAGAAAATCGTATGGAAATTCTGAGCAGAATAGTCTTGTATTTATAGCCAAAGATGGGCTGAAATCTGAAGAAGTGAAACTCTTCAGAATGGTTGTTTATGCAAAACGGCCACAGCATAAATGCCATAACATAAATGGCTATTTACTCAACAATAAAGAGGGAAAATTGAAGAGGGTTAATATTCTGTTATTAAAATAATTATTTAATAACATTTCTGTTAATATATTACTATTAACAAATAAATTTGGTCCAAAATAATCAATAGATCGATCATTTGACTAAATCCAAATTCAAAGTAGAAGCCGAAGCCGAAGCCGAGCCGAGCGAGCGACGACGGCGACGGTGCGAGGCTTGCCTTCTTCTCAACTCTTTAAGAGCTAGAAGAAGAGTAATTGCTTATATACCCATAAAAAACCTCTTCCTCTTCCAATATGGGACAATGTCCCTTTGCCAAGGGGAGGAACTTAAAATTTTTATTTTCCTCCATTTCCCATTCACCCTCTTTTAAGTATTTAATATACTTAAATACATAAAACCCCAACAATCCCCCACATGAATGGGGAATGGCTATATCATGGAAATATGCATGAAAAACTGTGTGATTCGCAAGCAAGGATTAATTGCATCTGGATAAGTAGGTTTCCCTTTGAACTTTCCGTAGTGAACTTATGTCGGATATACTCGGTCAATCGGTAGATTTGATATGTTTGAACAGTCGAACTTTGGTGTATACCTAGACAACCACAAGTCACACAACCAACCCTTAACCGTCTTTGGTTCTCATTGTTGTGTTCGTTTCAGCCATGAACACTGCCTGGTTTCATAAGTGCGTAGAGAATTGGCCTTACAAAGTTCTCCTTGAAGCGGCTAATACTTCACACTTACATAGGTGATTCCTAAACGTGTCATCCCGTAGATACACTATTTGATATACCCCGTATCAAATTTCGAAATCATTAAAAAGCCTTAATGTTTTATCCTTGGTACTGAACATTGTCTCATCACGAGAATGGACCAAAAGTTTAGTTGACAATGTTGAACCGTCATTAATAACTTTGTTTGATCTCCTTGAACCTAGATCTTGGGATCTCCAGTCTTCTAGGTAGAGTTACCGCCACTATGACTTGTTCTCGGCCACAGTCCCATTCCCCTTGATGACTTCTCAACTACCTCTCTAGTTAGGCCTTTTGTAAGTGGATCCGACACATTATCACTTGACTTTACATAGTCAATCGTGATAATTCCTCTAGAGAGTAATTGTCTAACGGTTTTATGTCTTCGTCTTCTATGAAGAGACTTACCATTATACATAACGCTCACAGCCCTTCCAATTGCCGTTTGACTATCACAATGTATGCATATTGGTGCCAACGGTTTGGGACAAAATGGAATATCTTCCAAGAAATTCCGGAGCCATTCAGCTTCTTCACCGGCTTTATCTAAGGCTATGAATTCAGCCTCCATTGTAGAGCGGGCAATACAAGTTTGTTTGGACGACTTCCAAGATACCGCTCCTCCACCAATAGTGAATACATATCCACTTGTGGACTTGGAATCAGTTGATCCGGTGATCCAATTTGCATCACAGTATCCCTCAATGACCGCAGGATATTTATTGTAATGCAAAGCAAAGTCCTGGGTATGTACTAAATACCCCAAAACTCGTTTCATGGCCATCCAATGAGATTGAACTGGATTGCTCGTATATCGACTCAGTTTACTTATAGCACAAGCTATATCTGGTCGTGTACAATTCATGATGTACATTAAGTAACCCAACACACGAGCATGATCCAATTGTGATATGCTTTGGCCTTTGTTCTTTGCTAATGCAAGATTACGTCAATTGGAGTCTTTGCAACTTTAAAGCCCAAGTGCTTGAATTTTTCAAGTACTGTCTTAATATAATGAGATTGTGACAATGCTAGACCTTGAGAAGTCTTATGGATCTTAATTCCCAGAATTAAATCAGCAACTCCCAAGTCTTTCATATCAAACTTGCCAGTTAGCATGCGCTTAGTCGCATTTATGTTGGCAATGTCATTACTCATTATCAGCATATCATCCACATATAAGCAAACAATGACTATGTGATTTGGAACATTTTTAATGTACACACATTTATCACATTCATTTATTTTAAAACCATTTGATAACATTGTTTGGTAAAATTTCGCATGCCATTGTTTGGGTGCTTATTTTAGTCCGTAAAGGGACTTAACAAGTCTACATACCTTCTTTTCTTTACCTGGAACCACAAACCCTTCAAGTTGTTCCATGTAAATTTTTTCC